CGTCATTTAGTCTGTCTGTCTGTCTGTCTGTCTGTCTGTCTGTCTGTCTGTCTGTCTGTCTGTCTGTCTGTCTGTCTGTCTGTCTGTCTGTCTGTCTGTCTGTCTGTCTGTCTGTCTGTCTGTCTGTCTGTCTGTCTGTCTGTCTGTCTGTCTGTCTGTCTGTCTGTCTGTCTGTCTGTCTGTCTGTCTGTCTGTCTGTCTGTCTGTCTGTCTGTCTGTCTGTCTGTCTGTCTGTCTGTCTGTCTGTCTGTCTGTCTGTCTGTCTGTCTGTCTGTCTGTCTGTCTGTCTGTCTGTCTGTCTGTCTGTCTGTCTGTCTGTCTGTCTGTCTTGTCTCTGTCTCTCTCTCTGTCTGTCTCTCTCTCTGTCTGTCTCTCTCTCTGTCTGTCTCTCTCTCTGTCTGTCTCTCTCTCTGTCTGTCTCTCTCTCTGTCTGTCTCTCTCTCTGTCTGTCTCTCTCTCTGTCTGTCTCTCTCTCTGTCTGTCTCTCTCTCTGTCTGTCTCTCTCTCTGTCTGTCTCTCTCTCTGTCTGTCTCTCTCTCTGTCTGTCTCTCTCTCTGTCTGTCTCTCTCTCTGTCTGTCTCTCTCTCTGTCTGTCTCTCTCTCTGTCTGTCTCTCTCTCTGTCTGTCTCTCTCTCTGTCTGTCTCTCTCTCTGTCTGTCTCTCTCTCTGTCTGTCTCTCTCTCTGTCTGTCTGTCTGTCTGTCTGTCTGTCTGTCTGTCTGTCTGTCTGTCTGTCTGTCTGTCTGTCTGTCTGTCTGTCTGTCTGTCTGTCTGTCTGTCTGTCTGTCTGTCTGTCTGTCTGTCTGTCTGTCTGTCTGTCTGTCTGTCTGTCTGTCTGTCTGTCTGTCTGTCTGTCTGTCTGTCTGTCTGTCTGTCTGTCTGTCTGTCTGTCTGTCTGTCTGTCTGTCTGTCTGTCTGTCTGTCTGTCTGTCTGTCTGTCTCTCTCTCTCCCTCTCCTCTCCTCTCTCTCTCTCCGCTCTCTCTCTCTCTCTCTCTCTCTCTCTCTCTCTCTCTCTCCATAGCAACAACTCTCACCTACCTCTTTCGCAATGGCTATCATCAACATGATTTTTATAACTCAAAACACATTTCGTTGTTGTCAGTACCGGTATAGATGTTATACAAACTGTCCTTATAGAGTAAAAAAGCTTTTCCTTATACGTGTGATTACGTAATATAGTTGGCGTGTGGGATGCATGGTGTCTGAAGAGCACAACAGACTCACGGAAAGTAGCAGTTTTCACCCGAAGATTATTTCACGGTGGGCGAGTAAGGGCAAGTTAAACCTGACTTGGGCAATACATTCAGGCAGTAGAGAGAGGGTGTGATGGAAGGAGGGAATGAAAGAAAGGACGTGAGAGAGAAAGAAAATTGGAAGGAGTATGAGAAAGAGAAAGACAAAGACAAATAGAGAGAGAGAGAGAGAGAGAGAGAGAGAGAGAGAGAGAGAGAAAAGACTATGAAATGAAGAGAATGAGACAGACACTGACAGCAAGAGTGAAAGAAACAGACAGAAACCAGACTGGTTGTGAGAAAGACCCACTCTAAGAGCGAAAATCATAACAGAACCCCACTAACACAGACACTTCTCAGGCAGAAACAGAGAAAAACAGATGCAAGCACGAAAGTAAAGATTTATGGGGGTGGCGAGATAGCATGTTAAAAAAACAAAAGATGTTAATTCAAATATAAATAAACTCTAAGATAAGGAAAACACGAAAGAGATTTGACAGACTGCGAATGTGAATGGCTAGTGAACGGGATATAAAAGAGAAGGACAAGAGGAAAGAGGCTGCTTCATTGTTAATCAAATGTTTATGATATGTGTAAAGAGAAATACAGAGATGCAGAAAGACAGACAGACGGTTGTTTGAGAGAGAGAGAGAGAGAGAGAGAGAGAGAGAGAGAGAGAGAGAGAGAGAGAGAGAGAGAGAGAGAGAGAGAGAGTGAGAGTGAGTGAGTGAATGAGTGGGTGAGTGAGTGAGTGAGAGAGAGAGAGAGAGAGAGAGAGAGAGAGAGAGAGAGAGAGAGAGAGAGAGAGAGAGAGAGAGAGAGATAACCGAGTGTGACAGCAACAGAGACAGAAACAAAAAAATAGACAAAAAACAGACAGAACCACAAACACAAACAGAACACAGACAAAATACAGAGACAGAGAATAAAAAGTAAAGCAAACAGATACAACAAAGATAGAGAACGAGTCACAGAAGAAGAGAGAAGACGATAATAAACGAGAGCCCCAACAAGTTCAAAAGGAGAGAAGTTCGGAAGTACCAGAGCCGTGGCGCTAACATAAAAACCTCAACTAAGAACTTCAACATAAAACTTCAGTATAAAGCCTCAGCACTAAACCTCAACATAAAACTTCAACATAAAACCTCGACATAAAACTTCAACACTAAACCTCAACATTAAACCTCAACACTAAACCTCAACATAAAACTTCAACATAAAACTTCAATATAAAACTTCAACATAAAACCTGAAGCATAAGACAGTAC